TTAAGAGCACTGGCTGCTCATGCAGAGGACCCAGGTTTGGTTCCCAGCACCCACATGGCGGCTAACAATTGTCTGTAACTGCATTTCCAGGGGATCAAATGCCCTCTTCTGGCCTCCATGGGCATTGCATGGATACACCTACTTACATGTAGGGAAAACACTCATACACATAAAATAAAAATAAATTAATAAAAATTTAAATTAGTTATAAGTTTATCATTTTACTCTGTATAGTCTTGTGTGCCATGGTATGTGTATGAAAGTCAGAGGCCAAACTGCAGAGTCAGTTTTTTTCTACTTTACATGGGTTCCAAGGGTCCAACTCATACTGTCAATCTTGCTTGGCAAGCTCCTTTACCCACTAACCATCTTATCAGCCCCTGGGTGCTTCATCTGCTCTGTGTTCACCTGGACCGTATCTCAGTTCCCAGCCTCCTCTACAATGGACCCAGGGCCTGTGTGTCCCCATCCATCACTGCCACCTTCTCACTTCCAGTCTTTAGTCCCTCTTGTAACCCTAGGTTAGCAGAAAGAAGAGTCTACCCTGGCAATTTCACAGGTTTGGGTGACTTCCATGTAGACAGAGGGCCCAATTCTAACCCTTTCTAGAGTCCTTGATGTTGGTTCCCATCTCTCCTTCTTTTGTGTGACTTTTGTTAAGTTCCAACCCTTCCTCCCGCAGGGTGGCTCTCCCAGAGGGCTTTCTCCCTAGTCTCGTATAGAAAGGGCCCTGCAAACTACCCTGAGCCTCTTACCTGAGGAATGAAGCCAGAGACCTCTTTCAAGCTATCTTCCTGTATTTTCAACATTTTGATGAAGTAGGGGTCTTCATAATCAAAGCGACGGGCATAAATGAGGGACGAAATCACATTGCACACGGCTTTGTTCAGGAGGGTGTTGGGATTGAAGGGACGTCCTGGGAGAGGATATATAAGTCAAGACATGCTCCTCCCTCCCTGTCCCCACCTGTACCCTGCATCCATCACCCACCTTTGTGGTCAGCAAAGGCGGCACAGAGGCAGCCGGCCTCCGTGGTCACCCACTCCTCCAGTGACTTCTTGCCCAAGCCGAAGTTGCGCAGGGTGGACACAGAGAATCTCCGCTGTTCTCGCCACTCAGGTCCATAAGATGCAAGGATCACACCTGCAGACATGTAGTCTGTGTGTAGCCAAGAATACCTAGCTATGCTGTCCCGTTCCCAATGCTCCACCCCTCTTCTGGGGTCAGTCCCAACGCTCAGCCCCCCAGACTTTGATAGCACACACCAGCACATGCACCTTTTGTAGGTTCTACCCTAGATTTCAGATTTCTTGTTAAATTGCTTTACCACATCCCCACCCTCATTAGGCCTCCTCCCTCCTCTGCTCACCATCCCTTAAGCCCATCTCTGATGCCATCTCTGTCCCCTCCCCATCCCAGCCCTTTGCCTTGGGATTTGGGCTTCAAGCCCAAGAATTCAAAGATGGGTGTTGGTGGACGGTCTGAGGTATCCTCTCCACAGGTCACCAGCATGTCCTGCACAGCCTTTATTCCATTGATAATGACCACTGGCTTCCAGCCCATCTGTAGGCTGAACACGTCACCAAAGCGAAGTCTCAACTAAAGTGAAGGGTCAGAGCACTTATGAAGTGGAAGTCCCCAGGAAAATGCAAGAACCAGGGTTGCCACATAATCCGTGATGTCTTGTGCTTGTGCATCTGTGTGTGTGTGTGTGT